GAACCCCTGGTCCCTATGTGGCAGCTGGGAACTGAGGGCAAGGACAGTTCCTTAGGATTCAAGGAGAAGGGGCCTTAAGAGGCAGCTGTCTCAGGGGCCCAGGTCAGTAGATTACGTGACCTGTCTCCCGAGGCTGGAATGAGGGTGGGTGGTCACACTGCAAGCCACAACTGCCATCTCAAGTATAGATTCAGACTCTACACCAGACAGCAGGTATGAAATCATTTGAAGCTGCAACCTTGGATGCCTCGCCAAAGCAGTGCCCCCATTTTTACCCCAGGCAGGTGCTTTCGGTTCTGTCTTAGGGTCTTCCTTGTTGGTTTGCCATGATCTTTTGCCAAGTCCCCTATTTCTCTGATGCTGTCAAAGTATGGATGCTGTAGCAGCTGTTCACACGTCAGTCTCTCAGCAGGATTCATGTGAAGACAGCCCTAAAAGAACAAGAAATTCCATCTTCTTTAAAATAATATTCACTTATTAATATAATTTCCCCCCCTTCTTTGTAAGATTCAACTGTTCAGTTGGGAACAAGGGGAGCAGGGAGGAGAAAAGTAGAAAAGAAACCCAAAAAACCCCAATCATGATGTTAGTTCCTTCTATGATCATTCCTAAATAGGTAGCCACATAATACATGGTTTCTAGAAATAGTAACAAAAAAATCATTTTCTCCACCGTGTGCTGTTCTTGAAGCAGTTGGTGCTCTGCCCTGAGGGAGCAGGCTACAATTTTTGAGTTCACCTCTGTGTCCAACTTGAATAATCCACTTAGCCTGTTTGGTTCCTTCCATATACTTTGTAAAAACTAGTTGTTGCTGTTTTTATTAAAAAAAATACCTACACATAGTAACAATAAAATACATACAAGATATAGCACAATCTAGAGTGGTTCTTCCATTCCCCCGTCTAAAATCATGCTTTTTTTGTATATTCTTTCAGAAATAGTCTATGCATTAGAAGCATTATGTGTGTCTGAATGGGAGAAGCATAATATACATCCCTTTATGTTACATCATTCTTAACTATTTACTTTTCCAGTGAGTAGGCCATAGGGCTCATACTTGGATAGATTAAATCTCATAACCACATACCCCCAAGGAACTGTCTCATTCTTTTTATTATATTACAAATGCATTGGTAAATGTATTAAATGCTTTTTGAAATGGGTGGGATATTGACAGTGACTTGCAAATATTTTAATTGGTACTTCATTTATATAAAACCTATATATTTCTGAAAATGTGTATATAAATCAAGTTTTAAAATCAAAATCTTCAAATATATTGGGTTGTCAGAAAAGTCATGATGTATTTTGTCTATGTTTTTCAAAGGTCATTTATTTATATAAAGAACAAAGATCAATCAATGATATATTGCCCGTTTTGTTCGATAACCTTTTGCCATCTTTCAGTGAGCTTCATAATTCCTCGTTCATAGAAGGACCTGTCTTTATTTGAGAAAAATTGAACAAGGTGCTGATTTACAGCCTCATCTGAATTGAACGTTATACCACGCAAAGAGTCCTAAAGAGAGAGAAACAAGTGGAAGTCTGACAGTGCAAGGTCAGGCGAGTATGGTAGGTGTGGCAACACATCCCATCCAAGCTCCAGTAATTTTTGGAGGGTGATCAAATTTGTGTGTGGTCTCACATGTCGCAATGGAACACAACTCCTTTACAATTAATTAACAAGCTCTGGACATTTCTGGATGATGGATTCGTTCCAACTGTTCAATTGCCGACAGTACACATTGAAATTGATTGTTTGGTTCTTTGAGAAACACGACACCTTTAAAATCCCACCACACTGAGAGTATAACCTTCCTCTGATGAATGTCTGCTTTCAATGTCGTTTGAGGCAAATCATCACATCGGGACCAAGACCGTTTGCGCACCACATTGTTGTCAACAATCCACTTCTCATCACCAGTTATCAGTTGCTTCAAAAAAAGATAGTTTTCCTCATGTTTAATGAGCATATTACAGATGTTTATATGCGCCATCAAATAAACTTCTTTGAGTTCATGCGGAGCCCAAATATCAAGCTTGCTTATGTATCCCAGCTTCTTCAGGTGGTCACTAACGCTTGAATGATGGATGTTCAATGTTTCTGCAATCTCTCGTGTCATGTAACGTGAGTTTGACTCGATCAATGCCTTTATTTTGTCGTCATCAACCTCGGTGGGCCTCCCTGACCGAGGAGCGTCGTTGAGATCAAAATCACCAGCACGGAATTTCGTGAACCATCATTGGTACTGATGTTCTTGTAGAGCATTGTCACCACAAACTTTATGCAACTTTTCACAAGCTTGACGTGCATTCTTCCCTTTACGGAAGTAAAACAGTAAAATATGGCAAAAATGCAGTTTGGTCTTCCATCTTCAACTTGTTGTAAAATCTCCAAAACTCAACCAAATTGCTCAATTTTTTTTAGAATGAAGCTAGAACTGTCAGCTGTCAAATGACATAGCAATAACATGATGAGAATGACTCTAGTACTTCCAAAAATGAACTAGTGCCATCTGTCACAAACATGCGTCATGACTTTTCCGACAACCCAAAACTAGGGAGTTGGCTAATTTAAAAGGATCCTAGGGCTAAACCTTTTTTGAAGAAAAGGATCCTTTTTAAAAATAAACACCACTCCTCTGAAATTTCTATTTTGTGTAAATTTACAGATTTCAAATACAATGTTAGGTTTATTTAAAGTAAAAAACACTGATGTTTTCACCATAATAGAATGTGACCCAATTTAAAAAACTGAATATATGTATACTTTTCAAAGGAGGAGAACAATTCTAAAAGGAACCCTTTTCAATCCATGGATTCCCCAATGATAACAGCTGCTGTGTGCTTTCTGGTTGGTTGGAAATTAGGATTTTACCTTTAAGAGTCCCAGGGCAGGATAGGAGATGTTTGGAAATTTTAATTCAAGTGGTTCCTGTTAAAAAGAAAAGAAAAGAAAGAAAAGGGAGTTTTATAGACAGCATGTTTTCAAATATGTTACCTCTGATTGCATTTCTTTTGAGTGAGAGTATCTTCCTAGCACCTTCCATTCCTCCTCTACCCTCTGCCCACCATACCTCTCACCTAAAACAATCTCTCCATGCTTGTTTTACAAGTTTTTTCCCTCCCCACCTCCAAATTGCTTTTCCAAATTTTCTTCCTAACCACTCCTTTCATGTCCTGAAGAAATGATGTAGGTAGCAAATTATGAGAAAACACTAATGAAAGGAAAAACAAAAACACGTTGAGCAATTATTATTTCCCTTTTTTCTGCCTCAATTTATATAACTTGTCTTGCCTCAGAATAATTTTTGGCACTTACATTGATATTTATATAAAGGGGCCCCAATTATTGCATTTATTGATATTAACATAAAGGCAGTTTTAAAATAGTTTGTTTTTTCTTTTTTTCTATCCAGGTGAACAGATGCTTCTTGGTTTTCTGGAATAAACACTGTTGTCTTCTCCCACCAGAGCCTGCTGTTCCCCTGATAATCCTACTGTTTAAAGAGTTTCCCAAGCAGACATTCAGCAATCTCCTTTGGCCGCATAAGACTATTTTGCTCCAGTCACATGCTGGACACAATGAGGAATAACAAACAGGATAAAGGGAGGGGAATGCCCAATGTCAGACAGACAGACAGGCCAGTTAAAGAAGTATACCACTGACAAAGAGGCTCATCATAGAAGGGAGCTGAGAAAATAAGAGCCAGCCAAGCTGAGGAAAGGAAATGACCAGAGTGCTCTGAGTGCAGAAAGATGGCAGTGTGTGAGCTAGAGGGTGGAGAGGCTGGCCAGGCGCATCGTGTGAACACAATCCCTAGTGCTGCTAGCACAGTGTTATTTAGGGCCGGGAACTAGCCAACAACAACCCATTCCTGAGTGTGCACTTATTAATCACTGATAAGAGTAAAGGATAAGAGCTTCATTTTTGGAGTTCCCTAACAGGAACAAAAAAATCCTAAAGCAAACTTGTACTGGGCCCTTGAGAGTAGCCCTTTTCCTCTCTCATAGCTTAAATATTTCTCGTGCTATTTCTGTGTGTTGAATCTGAGCACCGCTGGGGATTGACACGACACTGCTGACACTGAGCTCTGCTGTCTCAGCGGCAACGCCTGAGATGAGGCGGCCTGCTTGGCTGTGATACGATGGGCCCATCCTGCCTGCTTAGCCGGTTTTCCCGGGCCCCAGAGACAAGCGGGCCTCCCTCCTGCAGGGTTACTGACCCGGCAGAAGGACTCCGGCACAGATGTTCAGCCAGCACAACCCCCGCACTGCTTCTTCCTGTATTTCTGTCAACAGGAAATCCCCGGCAGGACAACCTCTGGGAAACCATGGGAAGCTTTTTACATTTATGAGACGTGGGTTGTTTCTGAGGCTTCACCGGTAGACAGGCGAACAGGAAATTGCTGAGGGATATTTAGTGTGGTACCGAGAATGTCCAGGTCGCAAGGGAGCCAGCTAGGTCACCTCCCATATGCCAGATGTCACTCCTGCCCGCTGCATCCCAGCATGCTCCCAGCATGACCTACTTTTCCTATTGCTGGTGCTGTAGGAAAGGGGGGCAGTGGGGAAGTGGAAAGGGAAGCCTTCGCTGCGGGACAAGCCAACAGGCTGAGGGCACAGACAGCTCGGATGGAACTTGACAGAACTTCCATGTGGAGACTGAGCAACGGGAAGGTTAATTTCAATATGAAAGTAACTTTCTTACACAGTAGCAACTCAGGATTTCACAAACTTTAATTGTGCTCTGAAATGTTTTTTATTATAATACAGGCTCTTTAGGAAACATAAAAAATGTAAAAAAGCATAGCATACAAAAAGAAAAAAATTACCCCACCACAGAGAGAGATCCACTGTTCATACTTTTTGTATATATCCTTGCAGCCATTTACTTCACAGATGTAAGAAGCTCTGCATTATATTCCAGGGGTTGTCATATTATTTTATATTTATATATGTAAATACATGTATTGTATATTAAATATTTATTAAAATTAGGTCAAATTAGATATACTGTTTTATAACCTTTTTTTTCATTTAGCAATATGTTGTGGACTTGTTTTTTCAGGTGAATACATAAAAATCTATTTTTACTGCCAATGTGCTTCTATAATCAAGATATATCATAAGTTATATAATTAACCCCCTACTAAAGGAAATGATTTCTATTAAAGAATGCTACATCTTTATGCCTTTGTCTAATAATTTCATTGGAATAAATCCTCGAAAGTGGACTAAGGGTATGCACATTTTTAATGTTTCAGTTTTTTTTGGAATGAGTGTGTTCCCCACATTGGCTATAGAGGACAGGCACCAGGCAAGTTCATTACCATTTGCCCCCATGATCTGGAGAGTGCCAGCACAATAGGGTAGGAGATTGGACAATGCTGGCTTTTCCTGGATGAATCACTGTCTAAAAGTTGACTGGCTCTGAGCCACCTAGCTTCAACTGATGAAAATGCTGCAGAACAGGTGAGGTGAAGGCAGGCCACTCTGTCCATCATGCCAGCTAAACTTTGCTATCAGCAGCCTCTAAATGAAAACACTGAAGGCTAGGGTGTTGCTATCCAATTTGCCCCAATTTTATTTTTCACTCTTAGACTGACCTACCAGTGCAGAGTGGGCCATGGGGCTCAGGCAGGTGGGTAACTACCAAAACCTAGTTAGCCGGTGACTCCCTTTGTGAACAGAATGACCACCACTTCAATACCCTGGTAACCTTAACCCTGACATGCAGAATTCTTTCCAAAATGAGTCACTCACCATATCTTCGGGGTCTGGAATTTTCACCCCACTGAAGTACTGATTTGTGCTGAATACTTGCTGGTGCCTAGGAATGAGATTTCCTTTAGACAAGAAGAAAAAGAAAGGTAAATGAGATCGTTAGCAAGCACTGCTCTGTGGTTTCTCTCCTCTGGTGCTGTGTCTGTCTGGGCCTACACCTACACGGCTGCAGTTGCTCTTCCAGTCAGAAGGAGAGGCACTGAGACAACCCTCGACAACCTGTACCAGGCCTACAGTGGGCGAAGTGCCAGGTCAGACACAGAGGAGGCACACACAGAAACAAAAAGCTAACCAGGTTCTTGCCCCAAGGCTCACAGTGTATTTAAGGAATCCAAACTGAACGACTCAGAAACACACACACTCAAATCAGATAACACCCTTTTTTAAAAATAGCAAAAGTGCAACAACTACAAATCACAGTCATATTAACTGAATCCTGACTGGTCAAGATAAAAGTGTATTGGCCTAACACTTAGAACAGTGCCTGACACATAGCAAGTACTCAATAAATATTTGAGGAAGGAAGGGAGAGAAGGAGGAAATAGATGGAAGGAAAGGAGGAAGGGAGGGAGAAAGGAAGAAAGGAAGGGAAGGAGGGAGGGAGGGAAATCATGGGAGATCTAGCTAGAAAGAATACATTTCTAAATTGGAACCACCTTTTCTTATTTCCCCAAGTAGCGGTCACCTAAAAATCCAATTTTATCTACTGTTTAGAAGCACTTATGATGTGAAGCAATGAAACAAAAGGAGCATGTCTATATTCTGGGGATTATGTGTGGCTCACTCTGCTCACGTGCCAACCAAATCAGCTAAAATCACCCTTGTGTAAAGTTCTAGGGATATTACACTTGAAGAGAATATAGAGAATATAGGGAGATACTCAGAAGGGCACCCCTGGGGCATACTTCCCATTTCCCAGAGCAGAGTGAACACACATCTCTAAACCAGGACCCCCAAAATGCTGCTATTGGACTGGGCTGGAGTTCCTACACCTAATTTTACTGATTTTGTTTAGAACTTTACTTCTCACTCAAATCTAAAAGCTGCTGTCCTGCCCCATTTTGGACAAACAGCCAAAATATACTCGCGGGTCAGCCGAGTGGCGCGATGGTTAAGAGCTGGCTTGGGATGCCAGAGGGCCCCAGTTCGGATCCCACATGTGAGGGCCAGTGACACTGCCCTCCACAAAAAAAAAAAATGTACTCGCTAATGCCTTGCCCCAGATCTCAGTAAGCTTTATCATGAGAGCAGTGCCTGTATCTTAATAACTTTCATCAGAGAGCTGAGGGGTGGGCAGGAGGGAGACACAGAGAGACTGCCCTAAAGTCACAAGGGGGAACACAGCAAAGGGAGGCTCAGTGTCCCTGGAAAGGGCTCCAAGGTGGCTTACATGTCACTCAACAACAGCCATCAGCAAATATTTACTGCTAGTATGTGCAGATGTTGGTGGAGGACAGAAATAAGACATGATCTCACCCTCAGGCAGCTTACGGTATCTTTGGGAAGATAAAAGTTCAAGAGAAGACATGGTGACAGCAGGTGCTACAAAAGTAGAACTTTAAATTGGAATACACAGGGGAGTAGCGGCCAAACTCCCTGACTTTTCAAGAGGACAATTGCTGCTTGTGGGTCTTTTCATAGGTCCCTCTCCTTTCCTCTTTCCTCCTCCCCTCCTCTCCTTCACCCCAAGAGTAGAAAGAAAAGAAAGGACTTTGAGGTGGGAAAGCAAGATAAGAAGAGTGACATTAGAAGAACCAGTCTTTCTTCCTGACACTTAAAAGGTTCAGAATCTTCCTCTGCAGCATCTAAATAATTGAAGCTAGCCTGGCAGGCTGGAGTCAAGGACATCCAAAGAATGAATGAAATAAAATACATTAGCATTCTGTACACTGCGAAGCCCTTATAGAAATGTATGTTTTTAGTGTCGCTACGATCATTATTCAGAGTTGACTTGATCCAAACTATGTTGAAGATAGAATCTTGGGTTTTTTGGACAATTAGTACCTACTCAAAATAGTTGAGTCTTTGTAGAAAAGAAATGTAGACACCTTTAATGGAGTCATTTAAATGTGATGTTGAGAGTTTCCCTCCTTCATAATTGTAAAGGGCATTAGATGAGACTAGGAACTTGGCTCTGCCCTGCATGGACCAGGGTAAATCTATCCCGTTTCACAAAAGGTAAGATGAAGACACCAGATATCACTTACCCAAGGTTTTCCTGATCAGATAGAGCTGATCCACATCTGATTTTCCTGGCCACAGAGGCATCCCTGACAGCAGCTCAGCAAAGACACAGCCAATTGCCCAGACATCTACTGGGGGGCCGTACTGCATGTCCCCCACCAACAGCTCCGGGGAGCGGTACCACCTGGTAGCCACGTAGTCCGTGTAGTAGTCACTCGGTCCAGCTGGCCAGTGATGGGATACGGAAAACAGAGCAGGAGCGTGGGATCAACACCAGGACGGAGCGGACCCCAGGCATCAAGCTCATGTCCATCTGTGGCTTTTCTATCAGTGGTTCCTGGTTGCACATTAAAATCACTTGGAATATAGTATTTTTTAATTTACTGGTGCTTGGGCCCCACCCCAGTCCAATTAAACCACAATCCCTTGGGGGAGATCAGTATAGTTTTTATAGTTATAGTTTATCGCTCCTCACGTGATTCTAATCTGCAGCCAAAGTTGAAAACCACTCTTCTAAAATAGCAAGTCTGAAAAAGTACTATTTTAGCAAAAAATGGTAGAAACCAGGAGGGTAACATACTTTTCAGTATCCACTTTACTGTGGTACAATTTATATTTAGAATGCATATTTAAACCACTGTATGTGTCTACATGTTTTCAATAATTACAGAATTGTAACTTATATCAAGCCTATGCCCTAAATATACAAGAACTAGCTTCCTATAGCATTTAGATAAAAACCGTATAAAGAATCTTCCACCTTTTACACTTTAGAAAAACTTCAATACTCACTCAGAAGCCGAGCGAATCCAAAGTCACAAAGCTTAATCACTGAGTGTTTTGTGATAAGGATATTTTCTGGCTTCACATCTCTATGTATGCACTAGTCACAAAAATCAAACCAAAACAAATTATTAAAGAGCAACTATAATACACTGGATAAATATAACACATGAATATTTAGCAAATAATTGAGAGATTGTTTAAATGTCTCATGGGCCTTTTGGATACTAGGAAAACAGTAGCAAAGTTTGCAAAATAGCATCATAAAACAAATCTAGTACCATGCCTATTATAGCCTGAATTATCCCAAATTCCTGAAGGGCCCAAAAGGACCAAAAAGGATAAAGGGAAAAACGAAAGTAGGGTAGCCAGATTTAGCAAATAAAAATATAGGACACCCAGGTAAATCTGAATTTTAGATAACGTTATTTTTTTAGTATAAGTATGTCCCATGCAGTATTGGGAGCATACTTATACCAAAAAATTATATTTATCTGAAATTCAAATTTAACACGGTGTTCTGCATTTAACCTGGCAACCCTACATGAAAGGGAAAATGTTAAAAGATTCTGGATGAGGCCTGCACCATGATTGCTGGTGCAAGTTGGTGTATAAGCAAAATTCATAATTCGGACATTTAACAGAAAAGAATACAGTCTGACTGGTAAACAGGACAAACCCTGGGCCTGCTGAGATAAGCTGGGGAAGAAAAGGGCAGGAACCACGAGCTTGCCAAAAGACCTCCCTTTGAGCTCTGACATTTGTCCTGACAAGATAAACAAGAGTAGGCAGTGCTCACCCTCTGGAGAGAGTCGCTAGATGTCAGCTCCATTCCACACACATCAAGTATTTTTAGAGCTGCATCTGCCCCACAGGATGAGGCCCCCACTCCACAATTTAGACTCAAATCACCTGTGGTTTCCAAACCACAGAGGACATTGTTGAACAGAGAGACATTAGAAGAATGTTTAAGAAGGCTTCACATGATTTTCTCGTTAAAAAATTTTTTTGGAAAAGAACAAATCAACAACCTAATTAACAATTACATAAAAACAAAAGTTGGGTTAAAATACTGTTTCAGGGTTCCTGATAATCTTCCCTTCTTCCAAGCATTTCCCTTTCTGGAGAAGAATGTTGGATCCTTCTGCAGTGAGAGACCCCCTTTGGCTTGCAGCTGAAACCCTGGGGTATTCTTGACCTTCTAGAATTTGGAGAGAGGACAGAGGTTCTGCTTGGGCCTGGCCTAGTACTTATTTCAAAGGACCTTCAGGGTGAGAGAATAGCACCAGTGTTTTCCCAAAGGTATTAATTACTCTGGAAAAAAATTGGGGAGACAATTTCTGAATTATTTTATTATAATCTTTGTGGTTCTCCGCAATTAATGGCCCTGAGATCGCCACTCTTCTACCATCGGCTTCATATATTACTATAAATGGGTACACCTGTGAATATCATGATGACAGATGGTCAGAAGTACTTGTAAACAAGACTGTGCTCCTATTCTGTTCTGGGAATTCTTTACAAGTTTCTACACCCTCCCCCCATCAGCACATGTGGCCAAATAGGGTGTCAGGGGCTCTCCAGGGAACTGTGCTATGCGTTAGATTTGTCTTTTGTGTCTCTGGTTTTCCCCACCAGGGCCTTTATGCCATCTCTCTTGCAGCCCCATCCTAAAACCTGTTCCCAGGAAAGCAATAACCCTCACTCGCAGTAAACATCAATATGAGGTGTCTATACTCCTTGCTATACATGCATTTGGATGAAGACTGTAGCCTTCAGCAAGGCGGAAACTCAATAGAAGAAGTGTTGGCTACTTTCATATTTTCTCCTGGGAAGGCAGCATCAGGAAAAATCATTTAGAACAGCTTAGAGATGGGGATTCAGGCCCCACCAGCTAAACTGACCCTGGCATTCAGTAGTATGATATATTGCAGTCAAACTGCCCTTGTAACCAAAATGACGCTCTTATAGTGGGACCTGGTTTCTGTGCAGGAGGCATCAGGCTTCCCAGCTTCTGGGAAGTCACACCACATGGGTGCACTGTGCCTCCACCTGGCCTCGCTGTGGCCAGAGTGTCACAGGCTTCCACTGGGCTGCATCATTTCAGACCTGGCACTCATATCTCACCAAAGCAGACATAGCACTTGTGCATCGTGCTTGGGACTCAAACTATAGCAACCAAATAGGCATGTGTCATGTGGGGTTCTCCTCCCCAATTTCAGAGCGTTTTGAGAGTACCAGACCTCTGTAAGTCAATGCATAT